GACCGTTCTGGATCATGTTTAAATGTCGTGTCTTTGCATCACAGAGCTTTAACCTGCATTTGTGGCACACTGAATCAATCACATCATTCCTGAGCCCAGTGATCCAGTGTTTTCCATGACAGAATCAAGGCTGTTTATTAATGTAGTGCCATCTGAGGCTTAATAATCAATGGTATCCAATATTAATTTTGGCATCCCAAAGATTTATCAGTTTTTTCAGAAGCTTCTGATTATATTATATTGATGATTTATTCAAATTTGTAACCATGACATAACCATTTATATTGAGGAACATCACTTAATGCTATTGGCTATAACAGTTTTGTCAGAGTGAGGGAAAAGAAAATTAAGTTGGCTGACAGCTAAAGTCTTTGTGAGCCCAACGTCACAAGGTACCCCTTACACCAACACGTTTTCATCCCAGGGTGTCAATTATTGCTATTCCGTCTGACGTAACTGGGATCGCAGAGATACGCACAAGCTGTGCTTTGGCATCTGTGCCTTGGTGGATCAGCTGTGGCAATACAGTATGCCAAGACCTAACAGTCTACATGAAGAGGTAGGAAGGGTGGCAATGACAGTGGTATAAGTCACAGGCTGGGAAGCTTGTGTCCTGTGCAAGTCCTTTGTATTCCACACTTCATTGTACCGACTTTATATTCAGTTGTGGGCTAGTTTTATTTCAAGCTCTTTTTATAACTTATACTTTCACTTGCTGCTTGATTAAAACCTCCCACCATTAACCCTGCATTTTCACATGATCCAAGGCATAGCGCCAGCATTGTGCTCTTCTCCCAGCACATTGCTTTAACTAAATATCCATAATTCAATTATTTTTCAAAGCCATTTTGTAAGATTGATCTTTGCTTTTAAAATTCTACATCATAAAACTAATTAGGACAATTTAAATTGAAGCTAGACATCTCAAGGTTAATCTCATGTATTAACATAAATAATGAAATATATTATAAGATGGGAAAGAGTATGGCATTTAAAGAGAACTAATCAGTGGGTGTAGTTTAATTCAAAATGCTGTCATATTGTGTGTTTGGATAAAAGATTATTGCAGCAGCACTCTTAAGACAGACTTTTGTTTTTTCTTAAGACTGACTTTATGGCATTACTAGAGGTGGGTGTCACATTCATGTTATCGTGTTTCTATTCCCTAAGTGCCCAGACCTTTTATGCCATCTGCAGTTTGCATACAAATGACTCCCTAAACTCCTTCCAATTATCCCTGTAAGTGGCATGTGGTCTACTCACCTCACATTGCAGGACTGCGAGTCTTTCTTGAGCTTCTCAAACCAAGACTGCTGAGCTTGGCGGCATTCAGCTCGTGTGATTACACCATCTTTATCCAGATCCAGACCCTGAAACACTGACCTTGCAGTGTCTCTCTCCTTGGCAGTTAACAGACGCACCAATGAGTTCTATAAAAAATAAAATCCAAGAAGTGTAAGAATAGCATTTACCTTTTAGTGATTTAAACAGCTATAATTCAGTAAAATTGACACTTTAGGGCTGATCTTAGACATTCTTGGTCATTTCCTGTGACACTTGGACTGTCTGACATATTCTGCCAACATTGCTTCATCCCGTACTACCCCAAAGTCTCAGACAAATTTCAAATTTAACCTCCCAAACCACAATCTGGGAACCATCAGCTAGTCTGCAGCCTTAGCCTCTGGGGGGGATATCCAGATGGGATAATAGATTTCTATTCATCATGCATGGCTCCATCCTCAGACATTGTTCATGCATGAAAAATAAATTAAAACAAAAAGCTAAAAACTTGCAAATTAGTTACAACAACTGTTAGCTTCAGGATTGCATTTAGGAAAAATACCCACTTTCCACACAGTATTATACATAGTATCACGTGCAAATACCTGTTTATAGAAATTAGTCAGGCCAAAAAACAAAAAAAGAAAACTTATTGTCAAGGGACAAAATGAATAGTTCAGCTGTTGGATTCAAGCCAGATTTTTGGGCATTTTTTGCCCAAAAATCAATTTTTTGATTCAGACTGAAAAATGAGATCGTTTCATCAACAGCTACAACGATTATTTCTTAAACACTCCCTTAGTCTGTATATTTGTTAAATTTATATATGCATTTTTTCTATATCACAAGGAATAGAGTATTTGAAGGTTTTTGGAGGTATAATTAAAGTGTTCTACAACAAAACTCATCAGGGCTATGTAGGCCATGGCTGAGTGTAAACCCAAAGAGTCATGGTAGTGGAAGAAGACAGTTCAGGTCGAGTTTAAAAATGCGGTGCTGATTTATCCCAATTATCTTGTTTCCTTAATCCACAACTATACCTCTGTGCGAAACTTCCTTAACACTGCCAGAGACTCAAAATAGAGAAAGTCCGACCACTCGATGTGTCCCTTCTTCTCAGGATCCAGCGCAGCAAACTGGGCCAAGACTTCCTCTTCCTGCTCATCAGTCAGGTCCTTTTCAAACTGCTGCTTGGATACAAAGTGGCGGTACTGAAGCAGCTCGTCTGACACCAGGCACGACTCTATAGCAGCAGGGAACAATTCATCACACAGGTCCTAATTAGTCACCTGGCAGTCTTCAAGATACATCATCTTATGGTGAGTGATTTTCAACAAAATGAAAAGCATCCTCCCACTGACTGCCGTCCAGCAAAGTCACAGCCTACTACACATTTCAAAGTAGACTGGGTGGAGGGCAAATGCACTTTCTCAAGGAAACAATGTTGTGGGCAGTAAACATCTGAGGTGACCACAGACCAGACAGGTGCTCAAGATTTCATCTGGGATCTCTTTGCTTTTAATCACCAAGCATTCCGGACATGTACAACCAGTGGCAAAGCAATACTGCAATGGCAGTACCAATTTGGGTCTTATGGTGATTTGTGTCATATCATCTTGAGAATACAATGGGTTTTTGTTGAGGATGTTAATTTCTTTAATATATAATCAGATCTGCAAACTTTGCACCAACCAACAGTGCTGTCCCGTACAGTATATCAATAAAAGGTTAAGTATTAAAGTTCTTGCATGGCCAGCGTTACTACCATCTACCAAAACCAAATCTCTTTAACCTGTATTCAGCAGCTCACCAGGGATGATCTTGCATTGCTTGAAGGTCTCCATGAGGCTGTACATCTCTTCTTCTGTTAGAAGTAGATTGAGATTGTCCTGCAGGAAGAGATGTGTGGGAAGAGCAGAGTATTACTCTTAATGCAGTCTCTTTTACAGTCAATTGGCATGCTGGCACTCTTGATAAGAGAATATACGTAAACTGGTCCTGAGAAAGTCTTTACAGGAGGTGAGATGAAGCCAGAGTATTCCGCTTTGTAACATGACGCCCAGACCATTTCTTTTATCGCAAGTGGCACATTACTTGATGGATGAACATAGTATGCTTAAACTATTCCTTGCAATTAGCTACATGCATGTAGCTTTGACTAATGAACCCATTTCAGTGTTTCCTGGGTAATTCATGTAATGTGCCTTTTATGTCACTCTCCATAATGGCATCATAATTAAAAGAAATAAAAGGATGTTTTCCAGATGTTAGGTTCACAATGACTTATTTCATAAAATTTACATATAACGATGTTAGCACTTAAATCCATGTGTCAACAAAAAGCAATTTGGCTTTAATAGGAGAAAAGACAGTTATGCACTTTTTGTTTAAATTAACAGATTTCCAGATACACACAGGCCAGAGTAAACCAGAGCTGGAAAGACAAATGTAACCAAAGATGTGAGATAGTCATTTTATTCCTCAACTTGTTTGAATATCAGCAAAAAAGATGCTGATCTAAATTTCTACATTATTTATCACATAAGTGATGTGATCAAACTTTAGTCTCCTTGGGATTATTGACATAAGCCAATTCTAGTTTGTTTACATGGTCCTTGATCACCCTTACAATCTGTCAGGGCTTCATAAAAGGCACATTATGAAATCTAAATGAAATTCACAACCGCCCACACTTAGAAAAACAGATAAAAAAAATACCCTTAAGCTTGGCAAATTGAAGCAAATGGTATATGTAATAAGGCCAAATGAATAAAGCACACATATGTCAGCCAAGTGTGATTAAAGTATGAGTTACTGTATAGCAAGTGTGTTGAGTGTTTCAGTGTGTCAGTATCAGTCTGACTAACACTCCTGCCAGTATCTGCATTTTCCCAAATATAAACAGATGGGATGGTTGGTGTAAGAACAATGTATTCTAATATAAAAATAATGTGAGTGAATTGCGCTGTAAAAAACAAAACAAAAAAAAAAACAAAAACCCTAGCCTCCCCATCCCACCTGCTGACAGTGACATCCCTGCCACAAAGGACACTGGTGGTTGGTCAACATGGGCACAACATCTTCATTTTTCTCTTCCTTTTCAATTTATAATCAAGATCAAAGTAACTATCATCTTACCACCTTACTGTCTGTATTTCAAGATCAAATGTATGTATCATACTTTCCACTCACTGGGGTGCTTGAGCAGGCTCAAACACCCTCATGAGCTTGAAATGGATAAGCAGTTAAGCACAGGGATGAAGGGAAGTATGGACTGTAATAAATGTAATTTCATATTTACTATAGAAATTGTGGCTCTATAAATATCTAAGAGCTGAAAGTGGGCGGTTCCACTTAAACAGTTAATCCCACTGACAAAATTAGTCACTAATTTAAAAAGATCCTCCATTCATTGGGCTGATTCATTCAAAAGTGAACTATGCACATCTGGTCTTGTTAGTCATTCCAGTCTGGGACACACTGTCCTGCTAAAACTTGTGGCACTGGCTATACAATTTTAACAGGCCTATTACTACAAAGTGTCTAACCTGAGTGTAAGCTACGGCCAGACAGTGCAGTAAAGCTCCGATGGTGTCACATTGTAAAAAAACCTTTGTGTTCCTTCACAATGTTTTGTACTTTTCTTCCAGTGTGGATTTGTGTCCTATTGTATGTGCTATTCAGTTTTCTGTGCAGATATATTTCAACAAATGACAGCCAATTCTGAATCAATATTGTGTAAAAATCAGTTTCATTAGTCATCTGTCTCCTCTAAAACACAGAAAATCAGATATTGGGTCTGAAATGCAATTTGCACTCTGTGCAAATCGTCTCCACCAAATGCCTCCACTTCAATCCAGCACAACGACTGTGTGTGAAGTTAAATGCCATGTTTGTTTTTGGAGATTAGCAAAAACTGCTAATCCACATTTTATTAAACTTTGTGGGAAAAGATGGATTTTAATGTGTGTACTGTTATAGGCAAGCTCCTGCTGTAAGATTTTGCCTGATGTTAGGTATCAGAAACAATCATAATTTTGAGGGTGGTGTCAGTTTCTCCAAATTTAATTTCATTCACCAACTTCTGCATATAAGAAAAAGCCAAAGAGATGCTTCACTTATTGTATTGATATAGCTTATCGATATATGTACTCTGGGGTTGCTGCACCTTAGTAAGCTTGCAATTAAACACTTCCCTACAAGACTTCATACATGTTCATATCTATTTATTTGCATGTGTCTGTCATTCAAGGAGTCAATTAAAAATCAACGTGGGAGACAAAACAAATTGTGCTTTAATCATTAAAACTGTGTCCTTTGTCTTCAAGACATTTTTACGCATCTGTAAGCCATTATGTGCATCAAGCATTACCTTTAGTAACACCAGCTGTCTGCTGAACAATAAAACTGCCCATCAGCTACAGATGTCTTTTATTTGTCATCCAATATAATGTGCAGAGGAAATTTAAAATAGATTTAAGGGTTTATGCAACATCTACTGGCAGCATCTGAGAAAAAAAAAAAGCTCTCTAGGAGACAAAAGGCCTCCAGGGAACAAGGTATAAAAATAACACTTTCTAATCTTATGCTGGCAGATTGCATAAATAGCTATCTGAGACTGTCCTGTTCAAAAAATACAGTGATAGTGCTGGTGATGTGTTATTGCAGACAACTTTAAATAATCAGCAAGCTCTTTACCCAAGAAGTTATAAATATGAACAGAAATACTGTTCATAAACAGTATTTCTGTTACCAATGACTCTGATTACCGTGTGATCTGAAAGGTTTACTTGTAATGCAGTCACTTTATGAGGTAGTAAGAGTACGAGAATCATTGCCACATACCTAGCTACTTGAAGAAATCAAGAGGTGCCAGGAGAGAAGAGGTGGGAAAATACAATATGGCAAATACAATAAACAAACTGCAGTTTGCCATGTCTTGGATAAATGATCACTTATAGTGGCATCTCATCAAAAACAGGAGTCAAAAAACATTGCTCTAGAATCAGAATTGCTCTATAGAGCTTTTCCCTATTACATGTAACTTGCAAAAGGGTGAATTCATAATAAATTATGAATAATCAATTTATGAATAATGAATAAAGTTACTGCTTTTGTTCCACATGCATAAATGAATGCAACTCCTGTAGGTGACCCCATGTGGAAGTTATGGACCATACAGGCCTAGTTGCAAGCATCAAAGTGCTATAAAGACGGGTCAGTGGTATCCACAGACCAATCCTTCTGAGCGACTGAAACTAAGCTACTATTTCAATCGCCTACTTTGAAGACTGTAAATCCACTTTCAAGGGAACTCAGTCCATCTGCCAGCAGCAGCCTGTAGTGCCTGTGTGAAATTAAATGTCAGATATGATAGAAGGGTGTGTGTGGGGAGGGGGATTTGAAACATCTGACTGATACACTAACAAAATAACTGGTTTCTTTGGCTAGGAGGACTAGAATTTACAATTTAAATAAAACATTGCTCCCGCCCCCTCACTGAATTGTCTCCTTCCACCCTCATTCCTCACACACTGAAGAAGCTAGCCAAAGAACAAACCTTTCAGCGTCCTCTCGCAGATTGTGTGAAAACATCCCTCTTGCACAACTTTGGCAAGTGATTTTGCTTCTTGGGGCTATGGCGCCCTTACTCTGCTATGAAGGGTCCCCTGGCAAAAGCGCTCTTTAGTTGCTTACGCTTGAATTAAAACAGATTGCATTATGCCTCTCACGGGGTCATCGGGGAGTCGTGGGTTTTGGCACTGGCACTGAATTTCTGATGAGAAACTGCCGTTTGTTTTATTGTTTGAATTACAGAAAAATCTGCCAAAACATTGCCTCAGTTTATATGAAATCTAGCTGTAATAATCTAGACATAAAATTATGGAGACTTGCAATTTGTGAATATGATAAGTGCTTCTAACTATTGCCCTCCACAAAGTGGGATCAAATCCATCTCCATCATCTTCTGTGTAATGATCTAAATGATATTGACGATTTTAGCCTATGCTCTCCACATGCCTTTACACAAAAGGCATATTGTGGACTATTCCGTATGCAATCTAACCACATGCAGAAAACCACAACCTAACACAAGACTGATTTTAACATGGCAAAAGCCACCACTTCAACCATAACTTGTATATCTGACATGAATTAACAAGCAGGAATTGAAAGCTGAAGGCAGCAACAGTTGTTGTCAACAGCTTTAATGACAACTGCCAAATTTACTCAGCTGTACTTAATTCCACTAAGTCATAGTCTGTGACACTTAAAGGAAACAGAGGCATCATTAACTGTATTAGTTCCACCTGAGCTTTTCCAGACGTGACAAGTCATATTTGCTGTCAGAATGATACCTCAAGCAGCTACAGTGAAAACCAGTCGATGTGTTCTCACACCAGTAGTGTGACATTTCAATGATTTAGTGATTAAGCAGTTTGCAAATATTTCTATAACTTGCTCATTATGTTACTAAATTATGCCATTATCAAATTTAATAAATTAATGTTCCACTTTACCAATATATGTCCAATCTCCTTTTTGGAGCTTGGACTGTGCAAGGGCATCAGAGATGTTGGGTTACTTGGTGATTCTAAATTGGTTGCAAGTGTGAATGTGAGCATGAATGACTCTCCAATAGGCAGCTTGTCCAGGCTGTACCCTCTCACCGCATGACAACTGTGATAGGCTTCAGGTCCTCCTCAATCCCAAACTAGACAAGCAGCTAAGTAGATGAATGGATAGCAGTTCACATTTTGTTGAATGACTGGCAAATAAGAACTGTGGTTGGCCTTTAGTGTTTCACACACACACACACACACACACACACACACACACACACACACACACACACACACACACTTAAGTTAAGTTAAGTTTGTGATTATGTTGCAAACATGACAAAAATAGCTGCATTTGTAAGCACTGAATGTTTTTAGCAACGAGCCCCGACTTACACAATAGTAGCAGCTCCAGCCAGTAACCGTGTGGGCTGTATCTCTCATCTCCTGCAAAGCTTCAGCACGCAGGTAGCCCAGCTCTCTCAGGCAGCCATCGTGAAATACCCGAGTGCAGATCCTGCAAGGGTACAGGTCGTCAGCAGTCCACACCTCGCACACGTCACACATCTCATCGCTTCGTGGCTGCAGGAGAAAGATTGCATCAGTGACACAGAGCTTTTTTTTTTTAGTTCTGCATGCTTCACAGAAATGTAGTGCCCCCCCCATTTAGAAAAACAAAATTATCACTGCAATTGTGTTAACATGTAGTTTCTAAACTTCCTGACTTCCTTGCTTCATCTCCCATCAACCAAACCTCTATGTAACAGGTTACCGAGAAGAAATTAAGCATCAGTCCATCAGTGGTAGGAGTGTGGTGGAAGTGGTATTATATAATGTAGTTTGTGTCATGTACAGCACTTAACTGTCCATCTCAGGCTCAAATAAGGACATCACTACCTATGACGCTGTCTAATGTGTTCAGTGTCGGTTTTTATCCAACCTCCCTGTAAAGTCAGCCAGGCTGCACTCTGCTGTCAAGCCAGGGGAAATGACTGCTGAATGCTTGGCTGCTTTAAACACAAAGACATTGCAAGTTTTCTTGGTACTTTTACACATCTATAAAAATGCTGCCAGGGCCATAGACAAATCCCTCTTGTCATATTCCTCAGTAAGAGTTTCTCTTTTATATGGTGAACCTTATTTGACCTGATGACTGTCCAGCAAGCCTCTCTATAAAATAATAACTTCTAAGAATGAAGTAACACTGCAAACATGCTCAATATTGCAGCATTTTTCTTATTGCTGGTGTTTTCTTAAGTTGCAGTCCGTTTGGCCTCTCAGGGCCACCATAAAAATTTGATTGTCTGATTTTAAAATCCACTGTAGTAGTATAAAATGGCAACATTACAAAATGTAATTCTTCAAGTATTTATAGACCTAAAAAGACTTTAAAAACTTAAATCAGCTGTGTTGGATCAAGGACACATCTAAAACCTGTAGGACACAGACCCTTGAGGCCTGGAGTTGGGCACCCCTGCTCTATGCCATGGCTTTGCCTAAGCCATGTTTGGAGCTTTTCCTTTTCTTTTCCATGCTTCTCTTCCCATCATTCTTGTACAAATTAACCTTCGTTTTATTTGTCTAATCTTGTAAGCCCTGTACCTACATTCATGAAAGAGTAGACTGACTAAGTGCTTGAGACTGCTAAATGTTGTGAAGTCTCTCTTAACCTGAGAAAGAATTGGAGATTTTCCCACTCGAGTCAACATCTATGGTTCTCTAAGCCTTTTGATATTGCAGAGCTTGTCAGTGCACTCCTATTTAAGAGCGTGCCAGCTGAATTAGGTAAAGTTTTTATTTTCACTGGTATACTGAAAAAAATAAAAACCAAATGCAAGTTCAACACTTGGAATAAATTCCTAAATTTTCATCTGCTTAATTTTCCATGTAACAACAAGAACTGGCCTCACCTGGCCATACGGCTGCTTGACACTGAATTGTCCCTTTAGATTTCAGTATATGTATATGCAGTTTTCCTTACTAAATAGATGTTCTACTCTTAAAATAAAGTTAAAAAGAGTGTTACATAATGAGTCAGTGTCCGAGTCTTTATGACCCTCATGTATCAGTCTTCTAACATTCCAATAGACACATCTATTACCATTGGCAAGATAAATGTTTAGTGCGGGATTGTAAGTACAGTAAGTTGAAGCCATGTTTATTTATTCTAAATAGAAAACCTGATGGGATCATTGCTCTTGTGAACTACATGCTCTGTTAGTCAGCGTCACCCCGAATATGGCCACCTCTCAGAGCCAGCCAAAGCAGCCCGCCTACAGGATGCTCACTGTGAAGAGCCCTCACACACAACAATACATCACAGCCTGTGCAGCTATTAAAGGCCCAACAGCAAACAACTTCAAACTCCTACTTTCTCACCTTCAACAAGGATGTTTAGATAAAGCTAAGGAATCTCTTTACGGATTGCCTGTGCTGTTCAATCATGATGCCTAATGTGAGGGAAGAAAACAGGTCACCAGATATAATAACCTGCTGTTGCCATAGAGATTATTTAACATCTTGTAGTCATCGTTTAATCCCACAACTGTGAACCATCTTATTTGATTTTTTATGCATTTATTTATTTACTTTTTAATATATGACAAAGACTAGCTGCTGCTACTACTACTGACTTTTGTTATTTAATACCTCCTCTTTCTTATACAGGTCCACTTCTATAGGCTGGTCATCATCAGGTTCCCTTTTGGGTCGCACAAAAGCAGGCGGTGTGAGCTGATGAGTCTTGTCAAGATCTTCCGGCTCTACTCCCTTCCCATCCCGTAACCTCGACCAAGCCTCCTGGTTGACGTTACACTCGTCTCTCGTTGGCGCTGAGGCCTGTTGGGAAGTTGATGGACTTGCGCTATTGTCATTCTCCTCTTGCACTGCGTCCTCTGTATTTTTCTCATCAGGATTGGTCTTGGCATGCCCTTCACCTTCCTCCACTTGCCCTTCTGCCTGTTTCACTGTGACAGCACGATCTTTAAGGCCCGCCTGGAAGGCAGAGACGACAGCGGTGCATTTCTGCACCTTCTCCACCTGCTGCTTCTTTGACATGAGCACTCCCATTGCTGTAGAAAGATGAAAGTAGAAGGAATAAAATGAGGAACTGTTACAAAATAATTCTTTTTTTCCCCCCAAAACTGACTTGTAAGTGACAAGTGATTGATAGCACCAGCTACAAGCCCACAGATGGCACCAAATTTCACTTCATATTTTGTTAAAAATCAACCCATGGAAATATTCGCTCTCTGCACATCAGATCTTGCCGTTACTGAATGTCTTTAGTTTTTCCTGTTAGCTCCAAATCTAATTCTATCAGCAGCAATTTCCCTGAACTCCTCTCCTTATTACTAATAAACCCTGACCATCTGCTCTGGCTCCCACATTTCTATATCATTCGGTAAGAAAAAGTTCAGTCCTTGTGCAGTGTTATTTACATGATTCAGATAAACAGAAAGCTGAAGAAAGCAGATCCCACAATTCACTGGAAAATAAAAATAAAAGCCTTAACCGCATATTTCATAAAGTTTAAGGATCCAAATCGGTCCTTCTGCACCTTGAAATGATGGTACATGTTTGACAATGCATGACAAAATGTATCTACACTGCTTTTACTCAAACCATCTAGTTCATATCACTGAAGAGATCTATACATTACAGTTCCTCCTATCAAAGATATGTTCATTAAAAAAAAAGTCAAAAATGATACAAGTTGACACTTTTGAAATGAACATATCTTTGATATTAAGGAACTGTAATGTACAGATATAAAAATAATGTTTTTGCTAAAATGTAAATTCTGAGAGCTATTAGCTAAAAACTTGGCACCTCAGCATGATATGGCGTTGATCCTAAATTTGAGAAAATTAGACAAGTGGAGACAAAACAGAGCATCATTTGGGCACAGGCAGGTTGGTATCATAGGAAAGGTGGCTGTCAAAAGGCAGAGGTATGCCGAATTACACAAGAAGTGGATAATCAGTGGTAATGGGTATTATGGATTGAGGAATCTAAAAGTTTGTCAGTTCAAATCATCATCAACATGTACAGAAGAGGTCGAAAGAAAAAAAAAAAACAACAACATATCTGCAAGCATCTGTAAACACGTTGGTCCAACCAACATTCAACGCTTTGAATGCCTTTTAAGAAGCTTGAAAAACTATTCCTGAACATTAAGGTTGCCTAAGCAAGATCAGGCTGTGTTGAAGAATAAAGCTGCTCCAACCATATTTTGACTTTCAAGCTTATTAGAATTGCATATAATTTTACATCACCCCTTGGGCAGGTTTTAAATGAGATTTTGCCCATTCAGACTATAGTTCTTTTCCTGAAACCCATATATAAAAAAGGTCTCGCAGTTCATGACACAGAGGCTATGATCAACCCTAAATAAAATGCGACAGCTATGACTTTTCTGAAAACTGGAAGAGAGCAGTGGTTTTTTTCCCTGCAGTAGAATGAGAAAGATAGCTTTTTTTTAAAAAGACTTCACTTGACTCGTGTTTGTGAGGGTTTGCATTTCTGTCTTTGCCCATGTATAGTTTGTTTTTTGCCTGTTCTGTTATTCGTGTTCATTAATTTGGAGTCTGTTGATTTTTCTTTGTCTTTGCCCTTGCTTTGGTGCCTCTCCCACAAGCTTTGTTAATCCACCACCTTTTACCAACCTGTTCTTCAGCCTTTGTCATTTCTTCCTCAGTTTTACTTTCTTTTTTGTTGCATTTTTAAGTGAGCATCCCTTCTAGTTCTCTGCAGTAGCTTTTGTTCTCAGCTTTTTCAGTAGTAGCAATAAGGCTTCAAAGCTCAATTTCCGCTCGGACTGACCTCAACATCCTGAAGTTTGATCAAGTCTGAACCAAGTTACAACTCCACCATTTCCAGGAAACTTAATACTGAATACTTTCAATCCCTAAACACATTTAGTGAAATCATGAACCGTAAGATGTGGTAGAGTGTTCAACAAAATCAGACCGAGATCTCATTTACACTTAAGAGAAGCAACCTTGAATTGCATTATTGTGGGGGGTGGTGGGGGGAGCATTGTGGATTCAAGTTGATTACAAGGTACTTCTGGGACATGTGTTTTTTGCTCTGAAATACAATCCCATCCAACCATGCTCCACATACACTAAGTGCTTGTGTGAAATTTAATCACATTTATCGAAAGTGAAATAGGAGTCATTCCCCTCTCTCCCTTCCTAGGTTACAACTAATAGCCTGTCAGGCCTTATGTCGTCAGACTGCTATGGGACCCATGCTTCATAGACTCCAGAAACTACACTCATTTTGCTTGTGCCCATTTCAGCATAGCTTCACTCTTTATGGTTCCATGCATTTAGCAAAATAGAAAACCAATTTAGAATACATTTAAATTAAGTTTTCAAATGTTTATCCCTGTCTGGATTCCTTTCACAAAGAAAAACAAACAAACATAAGCACACCATTTTGTTTTGGATGGCATGCACTAAATAGTGGTGAAAGGTCAATTCATCTGAGGCATAGCATCCCTGCAGAGATTAATTAACTGGGGCCCATCAGAACAATAGTATTTATTTAGCATATACTATATAAGCTTACTGGGAAAATGCCAAAAATCATGCATAACTTGAAATATTTCCCACTGGGATAATGCCACAAATCATGTATAATTTTGAATCTCAGCATGCTTATGAAAATCTAAAATAAATGGAGTTGGTGCTCAGAAGTACTAAAAGTAAAAAAAAATTGAAGGTAATCAGGAAACCGTTCTCTGCTGCTTGGAAAACCTCATTTTATTCGACATGTGAGTTTTATGTCTACTGACTCCCAAGTTCAGTGGGAGATTTTGGGACACATTGTCTTCCTCAAGGACAAGCACTTCATTTAGAAGAGCCGTCTTTCTAGGTACAGTGCCCTCCTCAAGCCCAATAAATGACCGAAGCATGCTGAGAATACACAATCATTAAAATACTCTGCTGGCATGCAGAATACTGAATAGCCAGCACCATAACTGCAGGGATAACCATAAGCTCAGTGGGCTGTCTTTTACTACAGATGGGGTTAGACTAAAAAGGTTCTGCATTCAGTTTCTTTTTTAAATGGTTGTAGTTGACATTTTTCTTAACTGCTTATCTCTCCAATATGGCACTTGTGCTAGACTCCATCCTTGCTGTCCAGGATTACGGAAACAATTACATCAAAATGAAATAACTTATAATAAATACAGTTGTCAACGTACTGAAAAATATCACTGAAGAAACAAGAATAAAAGGTGGTAGTTGTTGCTGAAAGAACATCTGATGTGGTGGCACATTTAAACAATTGATGATGAATTGGAAGACTCAATGAAGGGATGATTAGGTGGATGGATGGATGATTTGGGTTTTTTTTCCCTATACATAAAAATAATGACAATTACAAATAAAGATCAAACCAAATTACAATACCATATGACTAATGCATCCACCATTTTGGAGTCTGTCTTTCCATTATGGAAGGCAACAATACGAGGACTTAGTATAATATAATAAATAAACATTCAACTGATGAACTATCCATTTACATTGCATGGCAATCAGGTAATTAAAGGTTTAAGCAGAGTCTACTTAACTTACGAGGTCCTATGTTCGCATTCTGGTAGACATGCAGTAAAAGGCCTAGCAGGCCCAAAGGGTGGAGTTATATAGACTCCTGGGTGTGTCCAACCGATTGATTGGTACAGGATGTATGCTGGGTGTGGTAAAGGATTTAAAACTTACTATTTTAACAATCACATCAAACACCAGTTTGATCTTACATTTATATCTGTTATTTGAACAAAATACATATGAGCATATATTAGTCCGTTATATTTAGTCCGTGTGCTAGCACTGTGCAGATGTTGAATATTCATTCTCCATTTGGCATGACTGAGTGGATACAACATGCATGATGAACTTAAACAGTGCAGTATCAGTCAAACTTCAAAAGTCAGAAAATAATTAAGATAGTGGGAAGAAAATATGCCCTGTTTAATTTATAATGCATGTCATGATTTATTCATTATGTCTGTTTCAGTTTTGCTACACCTACTTTTCCACCTTAGAAAACCCTTTTAATATTTCTATCATAGTTGTGGGTTTTTTGTTTGTTTTTTGTCTGTTCGTTTTTAAGAGAGGTTGATGGAAATGCATCTCTTATTGGCAGACACAGAGTTTGCGAATTGCCTGTGTTTGTTTTGAGGTAAAGATACCATTTTAAAATGCACACAAGTAACAGATAAAGTGCTATACTCAACCTTTTCTTCTCATCTCCTCATCTTAAAATGACAAAAACAGAGAGAGCAGACTTAATCTGAAGGAAATCTACCAAGGGGTAGTTAGATTTGAATTAAGGAGACTTACCTCACAGTCCTTAAATTGTTACAGTTTACCTCAAAATTGAAAAAAGAAATATCAGAGAAATATTCAAACAAGAACGCTAATGCAATAGCTTAGATATGTTTTGAACAGCCTGACTGCATCAAAGTGTTTTGAAGAAGACACTTGCTCATAAAGAACACATATAATTAGAGGAGAAGTGGTGATCATAACAGAGGAAGGCACCGTGACTATTATGAGACTTAATTATCCACTGAAGTGACCTTTCCACTCAGGCTCAGAGCAGTTCTGGCATCAGCATAAGGCAGTGACAGCTTTTAGATGCTAGAGATGCCTGCAAAGACCATGCTTATGCTGCTGGAGAAAAAAAAAAGTTTAATAGCTCTTGCATGCTTGAGGACAAGGCTTAAAATAACCAAACCATTACTGATACATTGGTTAAATGCTGCTACCACAGCTGGATCCTCAACTACTGTGCAGTGCAGATAACAGGCCATGCCACTTTTAATGGCATAAGCAACAGAAAACTAATTGTTGTGTAATGGCCAGCAAAGTGAATAGGCTTCATAAACAGAAGTGGCGGGGGGGGGGGGGGGGGGGGGGGTTAATAATAACAATAAGCTAAATGCTTGTATGAGACCCAAGGTTTTTGTGCACTCTATCGAATCAATGCCATCTATAAAAAGCGTGCATAATTTCAATATGCTACAACGGCCAAAGTGAAGGTCTACCTGTACTTTGAAACAAAAGAGAAAGAAACACATGGATCACAACATTACCAGCTTCATCAACCCAGTCCAGGGTTTAGGAAAGTAATGATAGCTTTCTACACTTGTGTGCAAATTATATATTGCTGAAGGAAAGAAGAGGTCAGGTTCTTTGTTTTCAGCATTTGTATTCTCCAAACAATGCTGGAGCTGAGAGCCACTCCTGATGAGCAAATGCATGTGCAGACAGAAGACCTTGTCATTTTCAGGTTAGCTTATGAATTTTAAAAATACTTTTTTTTTCTCCATGTGCAAGTTGATTCTGACAGAAATGGGTCAGTGCTTGGCTTTGATACCATAGTGCATTAGAAAGAGCTGACTAACCTGTCACTCGCTCACCTTGCAAGTCTAAAAAAAACCCAAAGCGTTGGACCACAAGCCTGTCAAACCGATCAGCCCTCTTCCTGCCTGGCTGTCGCTTACATTTGTGAAGCTCAACACCTGCATCTGCGTCATACTCACGAGAGAGATGATCTCTTTTTTTGCTGTGTGTGTGTATG